TGACTGCAGCTCAGTGAAGAGCAGATTCAAATCCTGATGTTTCTACAGAGACACACAATGGATAATAAATACACTTTAACTTATTATAAAACACTATAAAGAATATGTACATATTCCTCTCTGTGTACACACTGATATAAAGACTCTCCACACACATTTTGCAAATAATAAAGTCCGACACAATTCTTCTTCTTGTATCTTAAAAACACACAGTAATGTATTTTAGATGTATTAATAGCTTACAGTTAAATGTTAGACTTATAACACATAAATAAGACATTTGTTTCTTGTTTTTTACTCAACCCCTTGTATAGCGTTCCCACAGACCCGTTTTCATTATATATCCAAAGAAAAATGATATGATCAATTATTTTTTCAAACTGACACTCAATGGCCTTGGCTCATTTTCTGTGAAGAGCATATATCAGAACACATTTTCAATGACCAACCACTGTACCCCCCCCCCCCCCCCCCCTACACATTTACATTACATACAGGATAATCGGATCTACTGTGGGGCTAACAAAAGTGTGGAAGCTGTAGGTCCTGTGCACCTGTCTGGGCCTTCTGTGTGTGTGTGTGTGTGTGTGTGTGTGTGTGTGTGTGTGTGTGTGTGTGTGTGTGTGTGTGTGTGTGTGTGTGTGTGTGTGTGTGTGTGTGTGTGTGTGTGTGTGTGTGTGTGTGTGTGTGTTAGTGTTCGAGCACCGACACCTGTCTGCTCTCACATTCCCGCATTGTGTTTTGCGGGAACCAATCTTTCTTTTGTATTATTATAATTATCTGCACATTTTGGGGCGGGACACAATAAATAAATAAAGCTTCGCCAGTTTGGGTCCTTATCACAACTGATCAAGATGGCCAAAAGATTCTCTGCTCAAAGGGCCATAAATCCAGTATGCCAAGAGAGAGAACCATTTGATGATGATGATGATGATGTAGAGGAAGAGGTTTCAGAATGTGAGGATCACATTTCTGAGAACTCTGAGTCTGACAGTGACTTTTAAAAAGAGGATGAGATTGAGCATCAGCTAGTTACTAAAAATAGACGAGCCACGGGACCAGCCGGTCAGCGGGCAAAAACACAAGTAGCACTTGAATTCATTAAAGTGAGCTAACAAATGTAAAAGGGCAAATATTAACCATGCTGTTTATATTGCTTGTAATTGAGATGAAGCAAACATCTGTTGAGTATTTTAACATCAAATAGTTTGATTGTGTTGAATTGAAACCCAAAAAGGCAGCGGGTCCACCAGACCCACAAACACTGGCTGAATAACAACAATATGAACACCACACAAGGGTTAAGCAAAACAACTTTCCCCTGCCATCTGAATGACTGGATGAAATGTGACCCACATGTGGCTCATGTGCAACTCGTCTAAATCACATCCTCTATAATGTAATTTATCTGTTGGAGCGTTGTTATAGTTTGTGTTTATTCAGCACAGAAACACAGACGTTTTGTACAGAGAGCTGAGGATGAACACACTGACTGATCTCAGTATTTACTACAAACTACAACTCTTTATTATGTATTATTATTCCTCTCAATACTCTCTCTATCTTCCTCTTTTTCTGCAGATTGATCCACAGGTGTCTCAGAGTTTCAGTATAAAAGTCAGTTTGAAACATTTTGCCATAAAAGGGCCACTTTAATTTCTCCAGATTGCACATCACAACTGGGTATTCAGTCTGAAAACCCATTTAAAGGTCCCATGTCATGGCCATTTCTACTGATCATAATTCCATTGTTGAGGTCTACTAGAATAGATTTACATTGTTCAATGTTCCAAATAAAATCAAGCATAGAAACTGACCCCACAAACGATAACGGGTCCCAAGGTGGATAGATTTGCAAACGAAACGCTCTGGGGGGTCAACCGAGTCCGTGTAATCACCTCTATATGAATATTTCCTGAAAAAATAACGATAGCCCCACCTCTCTCCACCTCTCCTGCTCACTGCTGTAGCAACTATCAAAAATAGCTGTGTTAATTAAACGCACAAGGGGTTCTTGAATGAAATAATATTATAAAAGGCAAACCAGAATTGTTAACGCCCAATATACTCCTTAAACAAAATAAACAGAGTCAGATTTCATGCATTGATCCATTATATTGACAAAGGAGGATCTCACCCGGTGTTTGTAGAGAATATCTCTCTTTCTGAGCGCGTCCTCTCCACAGAGACGTGCTTCTTGGTCGGTCGATGCAATATCCACAGATTCGGTTTCTTTCAGTTAACTTCCCCGTAGCATTTATCCATATGCTGAGGAAATGACTATATCCCGCTGAATACCAGCAATCGCCACACACTTCCTCCTGTCAGTAGCTACTGCTAGTGCTACTGCTACTGACCATGCTACAGATATTAGTGCAAAAATATACAGCTCCTCTACCACAACCATCAGCAACAAGTGGACATGGAGAATTACATGAACTACATGTTGCTAAATACACCGCGGGGCATAAACAGAAGGGTAGCCATGGCAACATTGCTGCGGGGCTGCTCGGGCTGCTCTTCTTCGCTGCTTTTGGTGTATTTTGGCGGAAGTTACAGCGCCACTTACAGTCCCGGCATATGTACTACAGCGTTTCCAGCGGTCTCGTTTGAACAGACACGTTAAATGAAACGAATGCATGTGAACGGAAGACTTTTTTGAATACGCATACTGTGCATAAACGCAAACGGTCCTGTGTGAAGGAGGCCTTAGGGTGGGTACGTGGGACAGACAGTACATTTAGCCTGTGAGACCTGAGTGGGCAGGCTGATGTATAGGGATGAATTAAGTCGGCCACATAAGCAGGAGTCTGACCGTGCAAATCCCCCTCTCAGATTCCACAGCAACCAGAAGAACATAAATACTGGCTGGTGATTTGATTAATCAGCTTTGTGATGGAATAGAAAACAGTGCATTTCCTTAGCTGTGGATGAGTCCACTGACACCACTGACAATGCTCAGTTGCTGGGGTTTGTGAGTTGTTATGATGAGGCAAAGGGGGAGTTTGTTGAAGATGTGTTGGGCCTGACGAACCTCAGTGGACACACAAGGGGGCAAGACATTTATAAAGCAATAATGGGAATGCTGAATGAAAGAGGGTGCAGCTGCCTTTATTCATAACTGTGCAGCTCTTACGCTGCGACTCTGAGGGATCAAGCACAGACACAATAACAATGAAAACTGCTGCATACAGATTATTTTTGTTTTTGCAACCTCGTGTTAAGAATCTTGTTGCAATTGTTTAAAAGTTTGAATGACCGTAATAAACGGACCTTTGTCTTATTGAAATATGTCTTTGGACCTTTAAGATTTGTATTTGAGTACCCCTGATTTAGAGCATCAATAAAAGCCATCCGCCTCTTTTCTTGTGAATATAACATTGAATGAACATGAATTTTTGTCACAGGTTGCCAGGTCTGAAGTCCTCTAAAGAGACTGAAATGTGCTCAATTACTCAATATGACAACTGGAAATGCTGGTGAGTAGTAGGAGGACAAACTGTTTGTTCGGAGGTTGTCTCTCTGCGTAATTCCCATCCCCGTAGAAAAGCTCTTTCTGAGGGATAAATAAACAAGTGTGCTTCAGGCCTTCATCAGAAGCTAATCTTCTCCTGAAAGGTGTCTCCCCCCCCCCCCCCCCCCCCCCCCCCCCTGCTGCTTCTCCTGCTTTCAGACGCTACGAGCTGCATCTGCATCACAACACACACAGATTAGGATAATAGTATTAGTGGATCATTATTATTGCTGTCATTATCATCACTGCTATTATTATTATTAGATTGAACTCACAGAGCTGCAGCAGGAGCATGGAGCCATGTTTTAGGGAAACTGATTTTCTACTTTGGTAATTCAGAAGAAAAGGGAGGAATTATGCTTTGTGTTTTTTATGAAAGGCTCCTCATCCTAATCAGACTGGGAAAACTCAGATTTAAATAAACACACATGCTGTAAACAAAATGTTGTTGTTGTCTCCTGTGAAGTTTGCAAAGACTTCCTTTTTGCAGAGTTGGGAATTTTAGAATCAGATTTGTTTTTTGTATCTTAGTGTCAAATAAAACGTTTTTGACTGTAGAAAACCAAATTCAGACCTCAGGAAATACTCAGAAGCTTTATTTCACCGTTTCTAAACCAAAAGCTAATGGGGATCCTAAATAAACAAACAAACAAATGGAAACCTGTGAAGCCTAACATGCATGGTAATGGAGGTATCTATTGTTTACATACCTCACTATGTAACACTCCTGTTGTGCAATGTGCAAGATATATATGATTATGTGCCATAAATAGCTGTGCAATTTATTCTACCAGCTGTAACACTTTTACCTGGATGCTAAACTGTTATTGCTACTGGATGTGTGTTTTGTAAATTGTGTAATTTCTAGTTTTATTTGTAATATGTTGATGCTTCTCGAGAGATATTAAGCTATCTTTGGATCTTTATTTGCTGTTACAATTGTACATTTCCCCCTGTGGGACGAATAAAGGTATTCTGATTCAGTTACTTTAACTTTGAAAGGATTAAAATAAAAGATAAATAAAAAAATGAGCTAAAATATATATCTTAAGTAAAGAAGTTAAAGGTAGAATGTATTCAAACATTAGAAGTAAAGTAAAAAGTGCTTCTACAATACATACCACTTATATAACACAATGCATACAGTGGTGTATTATTTAAAGATTTGAATAACACACACTCACACACAGATTAGTGGTTGTAAGGAACCATAGGGAATCTCATTCACATGGAAAGCCTGTCATTCATTATAATTAATGGCCGGTGTGAATCCTCCGCTGTCATTTAAAGCAGCAGTTTGTGTTCCTGCTGCTTCAGAAGCCCTCAGCTCAGACTGCAGACCCTCACTCTCAGCTGCTTTCAGACCTCAGACTGCAGACCCTCACTCTCAGCTGCTTTCAGACCTTATCCTCCCTGGGGAAGGAGAGTCGGTTTATGGAGCTACTTTTCTGTGTTTGGCTGCAGGAGTTTTGGTAGATTAATAACTATGGCGTCGTGTGTGAAAACTGAGAGGCCGGCGTTCTTTATCGAGAAGATTCTGGAGCTGGAAACACCTGAAAACTTCCAGAAACTTCACCGACCCTGGGCAGGTGAGGGGGAAACGTTTTATTTCAAACCATTGCTTGGAAGTTTTATTTCCAGCCATCAGTCTGATATGCATTGTGAGCATCTTGCTGCAGTGTTTAACATTTGTTATGGAAATATAGAATGTACCCTTAATTCCCTTTGCTCGGATTAGTAATTTACAATATTATTAAGTGTATTTGTTCCTTGTCAAATGGGTAGAGGTGTTAAGTAACTAAGTAGATGTACTAAAGTACTGTACTTTAGTAATATTTGGAAGTAAAGTAACATTTCCAATTAAAGCTTAAAAAAAAGAAGTTATAATATGTTTTAAATATAATTTAAGAAGTTAAAGAAGGACTCTGCAATAAAAAGATCGAATAAAATCACACATCTTCAACATTTACCATTAATACTGACCTGTAAAATATTATTTATTAATTAATAAACTGATTTTTAACTAAGTGTTAACACATATGTGAAAAATGGTGGTAGGAAAGCCTCATTTGAAAGCACTGGTTCCTCCATTCACTTTGATGTTGTGAGAATGTATTGATTGTTTGTCAAAGCTTTTTAATGTGTAATTTCCCATTTTTTTATTTCCCCAGAGATGGGAGCAGAGAAGGAGAATGTAGGACACCGAATTTCCTCTAAACAAAAATATCCTCCTCCTCCTCCTCATCATCAGCAGATGAGGCCGACGTGCAGCTGGTACATCGGACGCAGACCGCGCACCGCCTTCACCAACTGCCAGGTAACACTATAGGTTTTAGTGCATGTAAATGGTCTGCTAAGGCTAAAATCCCTGAAATCCTGTTTATCTAAATTGTCTGTTCAGTACGTCATAAAGTTAAGGATATATTTGTTAATCTATATATATGTGTGTGTGTGTGTGTGTGTGTGTGTGCGTGTGTGTGTGTGTGTGTGTGTGTGTGTGTGTGTGTGTGTGTGTGTGTGTGTGTGTGTGTGTGTGTGTGTGTGGTGTGTGTGTGTGTGTGTGTGTGTGTGTGTGTGTGTGTGTGTGTGTGTGTGTAGGTGAATGTGCTGGAGACAGTGTTCCAGGTGAACTGCTATCCAGGTATCCAGCTGAGGGAGCAGTTGGCGGTCAGACTGGAGCTGGACGAGGACAGAATACAGGTGACACATTTTATTTATTTATATACAATATCTAAACACACACTGTGTAAAGTCAGTTAATACAGTTTCCCATAAGAAACTTATTTATGATAAGAAAGCAAAGTAAAAATACACGATTTTCAGCCTTAACACAGTTTAGAAATAGTGGTTTTCCACCATAGGCCCCACGGTGGAGGTGGGCCCCAGCATGGAGCTCCGCAGTGGGACACTAGTGGTCCTCCTGCCGCAGCATCAGGACAAAAACCACCAGACTCAGAGACAGCTTCATCCCACAGGCCATAAGACTATTACACACCTGAACTTTTTAAAGAACATCCATAAACATTCATCTGTTTCCAACTTACAAATTATTTATCTAATATATCATATTTCATTTACTTGTATATAGACTCTTCTTGCACTATTTCTATTTCATTTGTATTTTCTCTTGCACTATTTTATCAGTTTTATCTGTTCTATCTCCTATATATATTCATGTTGCTGTTGGAGGAGCCTGTGACTTAAGATGTTGTGCTAATGACAATAAAGCCTTGAATCTTGACATCTTGAATCCTGCTTCCTGAACCTCGTTAACTTTCCTTTTGTCTCTCAGATCTGGTTCCAGAACCGGAGGGCCAAACTGAGGCGGGCCCTGAGAGAGAGCCAGCTGCAGCTGGTTCAGACGGCCGTGGGCGACCTTGGGGTCAGACGGGAGGTCAAAGGTCACCTGGATCTCGCTCAGAGACTCGAGAAGGAAGAAGAGGAGGGAGGATGATGTCTGGATTCACTTTTATTCATTAGTTTGTGTCTCACTGTCATGAAAAACTCTTGTTGACAAATGTAAAGTCTCCGTTAGCTTACGTATCCTTCAAAGGATTTTAATGTTTACACCCTGCTCTTGATGAGTTAGTAATGTCTCAATATGTGAATATATTTCTGTTCTATAACCTGTACAGTTAAAAATAAATTAAAGTATTTAGATTTTGTGTGATCTGTTTCGAAGCTTTTAAACTCATTAGTGACAAAATATAATAATAATCCAACAATATAACATGCATTCACAGTTATTTTGTACATTAATTACATTTTAATGCTAATAATTTTGTTATTTTACTAAAGTACACATTTCGAGAGCAGTACTTTTACTTTGAAGTGCTTTTTGTTTAAGTACCGGGTGACACCGGAGGTTGATAATTATGGTGTATTTTGGAAAGCAAACAGTGCCACAATAGTCCATTATTTCAACGCTTTCTTAAAGTGCACCTATCATGCTAAAATACCAAACAGATCACCCATTCTAGCCATGCCTCATATCCCTCTATTTCACTTCCTGTTTCAAAAGTGCTGATTTGGGGTATAAAGCTTTAAAAAAATAAAGAATTGATACAAAAATAAGAAGGAGGGGTCTGAGCTTATGCGGGACCCGGCAGCTACTGTCTAAACTAAATACTGCTGTGATGAAACACCATATCATGGATTATCAAGGATTGTTTCTGAAACAGTATGGAGCTCAAAGGCTTTCTCTCTTGCCGGTTATACCACAAGGTGAGTTCCTTTTTATTTCCTGCTTCTTCACACACATGCTCTCCAGTACAGGTTAGCTCTGAGTGTTAGCGATGCTAATGTAAACACCGACCATATTATGTCCAAAACAGTCGGGCATTGTTTCTGATAGCAACGTTTCTGATAGGGCCGTGGGTCCACATTTCAGATATTACGTCATATCGGATGCAAATCTGGATCAGCTCCGTTGTTCCCCCGTTTTTAGAGATTTGGGTACGGAGGAAAAGAGAGAGGTTTTTATTTTCTGACACTGCGTGAGTTCCCTGATACACCGGGGACACGTATTTATGTATTTTGTATGATAGGTCCCCTTTAAGTCAAAAGTTATGTTTAATATTTTAAACAACGCTTTTTACTGCATATTTTATTGTTAAAAATTGCCCATTTTTTACACGGTCAAAACCCCTGACGATAAAGAAAACAGTGGCATGATCCATTATTTCCACACTTTCTTAAGTCAATAGAGTGGCACAGTGACGCGTCCTAAAACCCGGAAGTAAACTCCTAATTTTATCATTTTCGAATCATAAATCAATCGATCATAAATCTATCAATTAGATTTTTTCATTCGAAATTATAAAAGTAGGGTAGACATGTGGAGATTATCCGGCTGAACAAAACGTGATCCGTCTCTTAAATGTGTGTCAACCACAGACCTTATTTTGAGCTATTTTCCAAAATCCTATGGAGAATTGCATTGCTTTTTTGTCGAGTGGTAAAATGTTAACTTACTTCCGGGTTTTAGGACGCGTCACTGTGCCACTCTATAGCTATGTTTTTTTTTGCACGTTTAATATTTTAAAACAACACTTTTTATGTAAAGCAAACAGTGGCATAATACGCCAATACTTCAACGTGTTCTTAAGTCAAAACCAACATTTTCTAGCGGGTTTAATTGTTTAAAACTACACTTTTTATGGCTTTTTCATAGTACCTTACTGAGTTTGTGTACCTTCGTTTCCATTGATTTTCTCTCTCAAACCATTGAAGTGAACAGCAACAAAATCATTATTTGTTTGTGTTTTGTCTAATCTAATCAACAGTCAGATGATTAAAGCCTTAACTTTGAGCCTAGCTGAAAACTAAAGGTGATTCATGCATGAAAAACCAATGCATAATGGAACAATTCAAGTCATAGAATTTCTGATGTTGTTGCAATGACTTCTACACCTATTATAAATTATGACTTCTACACCTATTATAAATTATGACTTCTACACCTATTATAAATAATGACTTCTACACCTATTGTAAATTATGACTTCTACACCTATTATAAATTATGACTTCTACACCTATTATAAATTATGACTTCTACACCTATTGTAAATGATGACTTCTACACCTATTGTAAATTATGACTTCTACACCTATTGTAAATTATGACTTCTACACCTATTATAAATGATGACTTCTACACCTATTATAAATTATGACTTCTACACCTATTATAAATTATGACTTCTACACCTATATATAAATAAATAAATAAATAAATAAATAAATACAGGAACATATTCCCGAAAAACACCTGAAGTTTCGTAAAGTTGGAAAGGTACCGAGGCTTAATTCCATTGTTTCTAAAGGACTGTTACGTCCCCACTAAGGTCTAGGGGACCTGGAGACAATAACACACAACAACCAATAAAATGAGGGAGTCAGCGTAAAAGTTAACAAAAAGGTTTATTCTTTGCCGCCAAATAATTAGCAAAACATTAAGATTTGTGTGGAAACATTTTCATTATTAAGATTTTTTTTAATTTTAACCTCTTTTCCTTTCTCTCTCTTGATCCTCCTTAGCAACGGTCATTACAATCCTTAGCAACGGTCATTACAGTCCTTGAAGCGGTCTGTTCTACTGGATTAATTAACAACATGTCACATGTTCTGAATTGACCAATTAGAACTTTATTTAGCCTCCGTATTGTTTATGGTTGAATGTTGGCAGCGAACATTTTTTTGATTCTTAAGTGGGCCCTGAGTTGAAAAAGGTTGGGAACCGCTGATCTAAGGTATAAATAAAATAAAATAATAGGTTAAAATAAAATAGGGGTTCGAACCAGCATCCCCACAGTGACATTGGTTAAGATATCCAGCTGCCATTGTTATCACTTTTTGTTTTTATATATTTTGTTTTTTTGAAAATGTAAAAAAAAGGAGTTGTTGTATAAGTATTTTTTTATTTTACTTTGCATTTTTCATTTTTATAATTTTATTGTTTTAAAAATAATATATTCAAAGTGTATTTTTACATTTATTTTATTTCTTTAATTAGGATTACATTTTTTATAATTGATTATACCGAGAGTTACCTTTAGATACCACCAAGAGTCCTTCTTAGCCCCAGGTTCACATCGCACCATATTGCTTTCCATTTCACACCAAACACACTTTGCCATATGTGGGAATTGAACCACCAAGTTTATGAATCTTAATCATCCTTTTATCCCCTTCAGCCAAAACCACTCAAACATATTCCAGTTACATTTTACTGTGCAGGTTTCTATGTTTGTTAGGGTTAGGGTTTAAGCTAAAAATGGACTTGGTTTATACGCTCACAGCTGATAATATGCTAGATGTGTTTGTCGTCTTTCATACAAAGCCCATTAACCAACAATGCTGGATTTGGAAACACCCATTCACAGTGTTTAATATTTGGACGGGTCAATATTTGGACAGGTGTGAATGAAGTGGTTTTGGTGGCACTTGAAGTATAAGAGGGGTGATTTGGAACGCAAATATTGAATTTACATTTGATATTTTATTTGGGCTTTTAGATGAAGACCGCACACAGTTAATAAATACAACTATTCTTCTGGCTAAAATACATATTTATAAAAGTCAATCAAGGAGTAATCTTAATTTAAGGAGTTTGAAGAGTAGATTAAAAATACAAATTATTGCCACAAAAAATCAAAGGGTGGCTCAACACGCCAAGAAAGGGGAAATAATTAGCTCTAACGAAGAGTGGGATTAAAGGAACAGCAAATATGCCATGTTGTGTTTTTGGTGGTTTTTCAAATCAAATCAAGTTTTATTTATATATCACATTTTTAAAACGATTTTTGGTGGAGCCAAAGTGCTGTACATACAATAAAAATACCCTACAATGAAGACACTTCTACAACAAATACAACAGCACAGTTTGTACAGAATATCAGTATGAGAAAACGACACCCTCTGTCCTTAGACCCTCACATCGTACAAGGAAAAACTTCCAGAGAAAACCCCCAGAGTTTAAAGGAACATGGGAGAAACCTCAGGGAGAGCAACAGAGGAGGGATCCCTCTCCCAGGACGGACAGACGTGCAATAGATGCCGTGTGTAAATCGAAGAGATAATACATTTTACAGCATAGGTAGACCAAATGTTTGGAAATGCATGTGTCTATAATAATAAGATGAATCCACGAGGATGTCAACAATCCTGTGGGAGCCATCAGGGAAGTAGTATGATGAGAGTCAGGCAGGACCACAGAGACAGGTTCAGCCACGACTCGAAGTCCAGGACTCAGGATGCAGGACTCAGGATGCAGGACTCAGGGTCCAGGACACAGGACCGCAGCAACAGGATCAGCCTCGACTCAGGATCCCGGCGTAGACATATACACAAAACAAGAAATTTGGGGGAGGCTGGGTTATTGGGAACATGAGAGTACACAGGTACAGACAGACAGAAGGAAGAAGTAAGGCGTCCCCCGACAGTCTAAGCCTAGCAGCTAAACTAACGTGTCTACGTACATGCACTCCCTTAGGATAGGTTGAGGGATAAGGGGTAGCAAGTAAAAAGTAAGAAACAGAGGTGGAGAGGCACACACAGGGAGTAATGTCCCTGCTGGAACCTTAATTGGAGTAGGTGAGAGGTAAGGAGGTACGCTGTGAATACGGTCTAAACACTCCCCGGCTGTAATAGGCCTCTCTGCAACCTGTTACCCTCTAATACCCCTTTCACACCGGCGCTTTTCCAGCTCCTGCTGGGAGCTAGAGCCTGAAAAGCGCCGTTTTTTCCTGTTCACACCGCAGCGGCGGCGCGTCATAGCTCCGGAATGCGGTTCACTTCCAGCTCCAAAAAATTGTCGGTCCAGAGGCAAGAGCTTCGGAGCTATGACGCGGCGTCGCTTACATCGAGGCGTGCAGGAAACCTTACTTTGATCATCCGTTCGCTGTTATTGATCATTGTGGAGATACATGGGCTATACAGGTTGTCATGTCCGACTATCAGAAGTAGAATCATAATGAAAAATACGCCGGTAAAATGTGCCTATAGAAAACGGCTTAGCAAGTAGTCAGTTTAGCTTCGGTTGCTATGCTAATATCACCCATGTTATACCAGAGAAACTTTCATAACAGCGCTGTGATGCCAAACAGCGTCAATTCAGACTGACACACATTCACTTAAGGGGAACTGGGGATATGTATCAGCTGCTTGTGTGACAGTCAGACAGTGAATACTTTAGAGCCGTGTGAGCTAACCCGGAGCTAACGGGAGAATACACTCCCGTGGAAGTGCAGCCACTGCAGCGGTCGGTAAATGCCGCTGAAACACATTAATAAACAATGAACCACGGCACTCTGGAGAAAAGTATAAGGTTGGAGAAGTTGTTATTTAATTTAATCTGGCTTCGTATGATTAAAAGCAACACGACCCGATGTAGTCCCCGGCCCGTTGTTCTTGTGGGAGAAAATCAGCGACGTAAACTGTGACGTCATGACGCAGCAGCGGCAGCTCTGGGCAGTGTGAACAGAGCGGGAGCTGAAAAGGGAAACGGGAGCTGAACCAGAAAAGCTCTCGCGAGGAGCTAGAAAGTGAAAAGCGCCGGTGTGAAAGCCGCATAATAGAACCTCGAGAGGTCAGAGAGGGGAAAGGTTTTGGATAAAGAGAAAATAGAATGAATAGATTACAGGAGTAGAGAGTATGAGAAGTAGAGAGAGAATAGATTTAGAAGAATGAGAAGTAGTAATAACCTTAGTTTTAAATATAAGATCCAAGTTTTTAGGATTTAAAGTGGACCTATCATGCTATATTTAAATGATATATTGTAGGGCCATACCTATATAAGGTATATTTATACGTTTCTGTTTTCAAAATACCAAACAGATCATGCATTTTAGCCATGCCTCATTTCGCTCTATGTGCTGTTTGCTGTCTACGGGTCTGATTCTGCTGACCCCGCCCCCCTGCAGGAGAGGGGAGACGTGCTCTGATCAGCTGCTGGGCTGTCAGAAGAGGGGGAGAAAAAGAGATCTCCGTCCTCCGTGTTTTATTATATAGAGTCGTTATTCATTTGTTTTAAAGCTCAATAAATAACAAAGAAGACCTTTGACCGGCACTTTTCTAATTTTGTCCGGAAGATTTAAACTTTAACGGACATCTTGACCGGCGAAAGAAACTGAAACTGAAACTCTGCCGCACGGTCCCCTCATTCCTTGGAAGAGGCGGAGAGGTGGGTGTTTGTCATCTGCTGGTGGACTAACCGGAGAGAATTACAGTGTTTGCAGCGGGAGCAAACGCTTGCCTCGGGGAGGGAGAAAAAAAGCCACAGCGGAGAATAAACAGAAGGGTAACCATGGTAACTATGGGCGGGAAGTCTTCTTCGCTGCTTTTGTGGCAGACTACAGCGCCACTTACAGGCCTGGCATATGTACTACAGCGTCTCCAGCGCTTTCGAGCGGCAATGGCCGGCCGTGGCCCAACCCCACATTCCCCTGATAGGTGGAGAGTTGGCCCAATAGCCGTAGCGCCACCGTCCTGACGTCAGGACAGTGTTCAAATCTGGATCAGTTTTTATCAGATCCGTTGCAGCCCCTTTTTAGAGATTTGGGTATGGAGGAAAATAGAGAGGGTTGTGTTTTCTGACACTTGGTGAGTTCCCTGGAACACCGGGGACACATATTCATGTATAAAAGACGTACAAAACTGCATTTTGCATGATAGGTCCCCTTTAAGTGAAAGAGCAAGAACAAAATGTAGGTGAAGAGGCACAGCGTGTCCACGCCAATGCACTCCCACCAGACCACTCTATCAACCATAAGCTCTATCAAAAAGGAAGGCCCCAAGCACACTCCCAAAAACGGATACGCTGTCTGCCGCCTAAACACAAACTGGAAGCTGATTCCACAGAAGTGGAGCTTGATAAGAAAAGGCTAGAAGGCTAGGGAGAAGAAGTGAGTTTTTTAAGTGTTGACTTAAAAACCCCTAGGATCTGGGCCGACCTCACGTGGAGGGGCAGAGTGTTCCAGAGCCTAGGGCCAGCTGCTGCGAAGGCTCGGTGCCCTCGGGTTTTGAGCCTGGTCTTGGGCACTATCAGCAGCAGCTGGTCAGCAGACCTTAAGGCTCTGGGGTGTAGCGCTGGAGGAGTTCAGCTATATAGGCCGGAGCCAGTCCATTTAGGGCTTTAAAAACAAATAAAAGGAGTTTAAAATCAATTCTGAACCGAATTGGAAGCCAGTGCAGTGAGGCCAGAATTGGGGTGATGTGGTCACGCTTTTTATGGCCAGTGAGAGGCCAGTTGGTTGTCAACCTATTTTTGTTTGTGAAATGCAGAAGTGATCCTACTGACTGTATCTCTATTTCCTCTGTTTTTGTTTTGTTGTTGTCTGAGATGGGAATGTCATCTCCTATATGTTATTGGTATGTCCATGTTTGTGTCTTTAGCCTGTACAAAATAATACAAATTAAAATGAAAAAAAAAAAAAATTGGCATTGCAATGCCTTCGCGGACCACTAGTGGGCCGCGGCCCATAGGTTGGGAACCGCTGCCACAATCCACGCATCCACCCATCTTTATATTTATTAAAAACGTTATCTGAAATAGAGTGGCGAAGTCACGCCCTTCTACTTCCGCCCCATGGGACCTTATTTCATAATTTTTCCGAAATAAGGTGGACTTCTCCTCTATAGAGTGGCGAAGTCTCTCCCCTTCCGGTGGACCTCCATGGGACCTTATTTCGGAAAAATTATGCATTGAAGTCAATGGAGAGAGAAAGATTATCTTTCGATCCCGTTTGAATTGTGCCACGAATTACACATATGATGTTTGTCAATTTAAAAGATAATTTTGCAAGTCAAAAAAAAAAAAATGTGTCGTAAAACTGTGAAGTAACACATTTGTTTGTGTGAAATGCTCAATGAACTACATCTCTGGTCTCACAGAACAACACACGTCACCAAGATGGCCGTCACTACTGTCTTGTCAACAAAACGATTGACTACCCTCACTATCACCACAATGAAACACGTCCTGAAGAATGTCATGCAAAGCTGCCTGCCTGCCTTCCTTTGATTCTCTCTGAACTGCCTGGTCGTTTTAATGTTTAATGTCAACCATTTGTGCAGATAGCATGAAGTAGAGAAGATCGCTAGCGTTAGCGTTAGCATTTCTCCCCCGGACTTAAATGGTGTATTATAGAATGATCACACCGGTGTGACAGTACTCTTCAAAGGGTTCACGAAATATGACTACTACTCTTACTGTTTAACATTTTGGGTTACTTAACGTTACTTCATGTTAAGGCTAATACAAATGACAAGGCTGTAATGCTAACTAACGTGCTAGCTACTAGCTAGCTTGATCCAGACACTCCCTGGTCCTTTCATCAGACAGGAAGCGAAAGAACGAGCAAGACCCATTGCTGGTATGATAACAACCTGGTACTAAGCACACAGGCATCTTGTTAAAGTTATCTTATCTTAGCCATCTCTTAGTGGAGGAAAACAATTGTGACATCACTTACGCGACTCTGGGATTTGTAGTCTTTCTAGTTGCGTATTTTTCATAGTCTTATATATCAATTTTTTAAGATTGACAAACATCATATGTGTAATTCATGGCACAATTCAAACGGGATCGAAAGATAAGTTTTCTCTCTCCATTGACTTCAATACATTATTTTTCCGAAATAAGTTCCCATGGGGCAGAAGTAGATGGGCGTGACTTCGCCACTCTATATGAAACTGTATTTGTTTTCCTATTTATTTATTTACATTTTAGAATTATTTTATTACTTTATAGATCAACCCTTAATGTGAACTTTTTTCTATACAAAATATATGATGTTCATTTCGTTCTTGAATAAATAAATACATAATAATACATAAAAAAAAGGTCTGAATTACGCGGCGGCCGCTGATTGGCTAAGCCGTGTCCCGGAAGTGATTGCATGTGTGTGTGTGTGTGTTGAGTGCAGGAATCTGTCGGTAACATTTGTGTGTGTTTATCGGCGGGTTTTCTGCTCTACAACATGGAAACGTTTAATAAATTAAAACAGTTTGACGCTTATCCCAAAACTCTGGAGGATTTCCGAGTGAAACGTGGGGAGGAGCGACCGGTGAGAAGCGTTATTTATTACCAGAGAAGAAGAAGGAGCCAGTGTTAGCTGCTGATGCTAACAACAAGGCTAATTCATGCTTTAATTCATGATAAAACATACAGAAAACACACCGATTTAAAGACTTAACATGGTCCTTTTAACGCAGTGTGACTCTGAGCAGCAGCAGCATTTTCTCCATTAGCTGTTAACATTAAACATATCAATATATTATAACCAGGCTGGTGATTTAAAAGGCAACATATATCATTTAACAAGGAAAGCAGAGGTGGAAGAAGTACCCAGATTCCTCACTTAAGTACAAGTAGTAATAGCACAGTGTATAAATACCCTGCTAAAAGTAAATGTCCTGTATTAACACTCGTAATTAAGTAAAAGTACAGAAGTATTAGCATCCATAGATACTTAAATCACCAAAAGTAAAAGTACTCTGGCTTTTTTACTTATAGTATATAGTATGTATGTCTAAGTTGACTTATGGGAGGTATGCTATATTTAACCCGGTTTTAAAGGATGCTTTCAGGATATTATAGCACATTCTCATCTGAGTTATTGTGCAGTTATCATTACACTTGATATACTTTGTGTACTATATAAGAATACGTAATTCCCCACAGCTGTAAAATGCTGAATACACTTGAAAAATGCACCTTGAGACGCTTGATAAGTGCTTGATTTAGACCTTTGGAAAGGTGTAGGAACCCTGACAATAAAATAAAACGTTATTGATCACTGGAGTACATTTTTTACCGCTAGTTTGTTTGATGAATAGTTGGGCAGTGTCCTGTAGAAGTAGTCATGGACTCTGACCTGAGTTTCAACAGTCACATTAAAACAGTTACTAAATCAGCCTACTATCACCTAAAGAACATATCTAGGATTAAAAGACTAATGTCACAGCAGGATTTGGAAAAACTTGTCAATGCTTTTATCTTCAGTAGACTGGACTATTGTAATGGTGTCTTCACAGGTCTCACTAAAAAATCTATTAGAAAGCTGCAGCTGATTCAGAACGCCGCTGCTCGAGTCCTCACTAACGGCCCGTCCACATGGCGGCGTGCGTTGAAGCTTCAATGCTTCTGCCCATTCACTTTGAATGGGGTGACGTCACACTTTGCCGAGCTGCATTGTGGTTCCGTCATTTCGCGTTGCTCGCTTCAAAAGTTGAGCAATGTTCTACTTTTGAAGCTTCAACGGAAGCGTCAGCCAATCAAATCATATGCCAGTACAAGCTCTAGCCAATCAAACCGCGTGCTTGTGTGTCCGGGGCGGGAGATTCATGTGATTGGTTGTTGGTCGAGCTTCAGACATGCCCGCCGGCAAGCTTCAACGCACGCCGCCGTGTGGACGGGCCGTAAGAAAGTGGATCAGTCCTGTTCTGAAGTCTTTACACTGGCTTCCTGTGTGTCAAAGAATATATTTCAAAAATACTGCTGCTGGTTTATAAAGCTTTGAATGGTTTAGGCCCAAAATACATTTCTGACCTCCTGCTAAATTATGAACCATCCAGATCTCTCAGGTCTTCAGGGACTGGTCAGCTTTCTGTCCCCAGAGTCAGAACTAAACATGGAGAAGTTCAGTTATTATGCTCCAAATATCTGGAACAAACTCCCAGAAACCTGCAGGTCCGCTGCAACTCTGACTACTTTTAAATCCAGCCTGAAGACCTTTCTTTTTGTCGCTGCTTTTAATTGATATATTCAGGCTTATTATTTTTAGGGTTAAAGTCCCCTACGTGTGCCGTTTTGGTTTCAAGACCCTGGTTCGCAGAGGACACCAATAAAGTCCTAGAAAAACAACTTAAACTTAACTAATGTCGTTTAAAAAAGAGGAATAGTTTTGGAGAAAACTAAAAGGTACCATGGGGTCAGATTAGAATTTCCCAAAGGGGGGTTCGTCTAGCATGAAACACTTGAAATAACTAAAGGATAAGTTAAACAAGAAAGTAGAAAGAAAGTGAGGTCAAAGACATTTCTGCTAAAAAAGTTAGCATTGATTGAGAGTCAGACCTAAACATTTCAGATGTGTGTATCTCACACTGCACTGTGACTTTCATTCATGTTCCTTTGTTATTCATCTTTGCTTTTAAATGAGTGTTTTTAAATGCCATTTTATAATATGTTTCGTAATGCTCTTAATGTCTTTCATGTTTGTAAAGCACGTTGAATTGCCTTGTGTTTAAATGTGCTTTATAAATAGACTTGCCTACCTCAGTGATAACGAACATTTTCTCCTAATCCTAGCTACTTACTCTTGACTCTTGAAACTACATTTAATATTCACTCTTTTCACACTTGAACAGAATATGTCCATAATAGAAAAATGTGTTTATTTGTTTTATATATATTTTAACCATTACCTGGCCTGGATTCTTATACAAATACAATTGGAAAAACATTAGAAAACTTCTAAACTCTCAGAGTGTGAACGAGGATTTAAATAACTTCTGATGACAATATTTTAAAAGTTGAAAGCATAATCTAATGCATATTATTTAAAAACATTACAACCCACTGCTTGTGCTTTAACATGTTATTTTTCTTGCTATATAATATGTATATTTTATTGTTTTTTTATTAACATTTCCAGTTCTCTATGTTGCATGTTTTTATTGATTGTATTTAGTTGATATTTTAAATGACATTTTGACTCATTAGGGTTTCTGTCCAGCGACTGCAGATCAAAGCCTCTTGACTAATTCATATACTCTAAGTAATGTGTCCCTGTTTGATAAATACATAAGAAGAGGGTCTGAGAGATCTTCTTCTTGACTCTCAGAGTGTGAACATATCATTTGTATCTGATCTCTCTCTCTCTCTGCAGTGACGATCATCAGCGGGATCATCATGTTGATCCTGTTCGTCTCCGAGCTGCAGTATTATCTCACTAAAGAGGTGAGTCTTCCTCCTGTCACCTGAACGCCTCGTCAAGAAACACTTTGATTGGTCCAAGTTTGGGATAAGATAAGATATTTCCCCTTGTTATAAATAATCTGAGGCTTCTGTGTTGAGCATAAGATAAAATAAGAAGTACTGTATTGATCCCAATTTGGGACATGTTTGACAAGGCATTACATTAGAGAAATTAAAAGAAATAAGCAATCCAAAATGTAAACATCTCAAAAGAAATAAAATAGCATTAAAAAAGTAAATATGGAAATACAAATATATAGTATATAGCACTTTCCATCTCACACAAAGTGCTTCACAAACCAACTATAAATGTACAAAAGTAGAAATGTTGAATTACAAATGTGCATTGACAACATTAAAGCAGGATATTTTACATAAGTATGTGAGAAATGGAATATTACATATTAGATTGGATATAGATGGACAGTGTGATTTACTCTCGTCCCGGCAGCATGTGGACAATTAGATAGAATACAGTTGTAAGAGCAGCAGTCCAAAGTCTGCAGCTTCAGAGACAGAGACTGTTCTGTGGTGGGGAGGGAACTCTAATTCCCTGTAGAGAAACTGATCAATAATTCATGGGCAAAGTTTGTCTTTTGTTATATTTAATAAAGTAATAAAGAAAGTCAATATACATATAGTGGAATTGATCCCAAATGCAGGAACAGAGCAGCTTATAACATGGCTTTGCACCCAGAACACAGCTTACAGTCAAAGCCCTATCACTTATTTGCATAACAAGCTTGAGATGTACCTTTCTTATTTCCCCTTATTATGAGCAATCTGATGCTTCTGTTTTGAGGATAATAATTAAAACGCCTTTTGTTGAACGTAAAGCAGCGTTCAGGCTTCAGGAAACTCTTCCTGTCAGACCGGTCCGACGGCCACAGAAAACTGAGACCTCCTTTTGCAAACTGAAAATAAAGAGTACTTCAGGAATGCTGCTTCTGTTCCACTTCTGCTCTGTTTGTCATGGTTTTCCTATGAAGCAAGACGTCAATAAATGATCCTTAAAGAGTTATATAATCATAGAATACAATACAGCTTCATCCTCAAAGCAAATACGTTATTTTGTCCGTCCAACACCCCTAAGATATTCACTTGATTGTATATAGACCTTTTGTATTTTTGGGTTTTATTATATATGTTGCATCGTTGTAGGAGCTTGTCAGAAGAATTTCATTGCCATTTCTACACTGTAGCGTTGTGCATATGACAATAACACCTTTCAATCTTATTGTAATATAAAACTGAGAAAAAGCAGATTATCTACATATTTGAGAGTCTTAAAACTGAATTTCCTGACATTTTTGCTGGAAAACGTACTTTAAGACCTATCATTTCCTGTCATTCGACCACCTGATCATGGCAGCTCTGAGTCTCAAACATGTTTTGTGTTTTTTTTGTACACTTTAAATGAATTCTCCTTTTCCCTGCAGGTTCACCCTGAGCTGTACGTGGACACGTCGCGAGGAGACAAACTCAAAATCAACGTAGACGTCCTTTTCCCTCACATGCCCTGCGCCTGTAAGTAAACCTCTGGAGTTTAGCATCATGCTAACTGTTGGGAAAATACTGAATGTCCTCTTCCAGTATCAGAGTACACATGATAACAAAGGTATCCCAACTGTAGCTGTGGACATGACAGGATGTATGATTACCTAGAAGAGCATCAGGACTGTTTGAGGCATATGATAGCTATGTGATTAACATGATGATTCAGCCTCTATGGAGATAGACATATGACAAGCATGCTCATTTCTGACGTGGAGCTAATCTGAAGTAAACATTGAATACTGCTTTCTATTCCTCCATCTTGTGACTGTGTAACTCCCTCTCTTGGATATCAGCATGTGAAGGACACTGTTCAGGAACTAGTTGATGCTCTGTATGTGATGACTACTTCCATTCTGGAGAGGATCATAAATACATGGATCCTGAGATTGAAGCTCAAGCTGGGGACGAGTGATATTTTTCTAACACTAATCACCACAACCTATTATTTACAAACAGTTCTTCCTCTCTTCTCCCTCCTCTTCCTCTCAGATCTCAGTATAGATGCGATGGACGTGGCCGGCGAGCAGCAGCTGGACGTCGAACACAATCTCTTCAAACAGCGGCTGGACAAAGACCTGAAGCCTGTCACCAACGAGGCAGAAAAACACGGTAAAATCTGACTTTAATTTATCACCCCGACTTCAGAAATCACTTTGAACTTTCTCTTAAAGCTCAGACGATGATTTGTAATCCATCCTGGAACAACAGTGTTTTCATAGAGACCTCACAAAGCTTAAAGAGAATATAAATAAGAATATGAATAATGGATGTGTACGGAGAAAGCTGTCTTTTATTATTATAGTCCCAAATCACACATTTTACATTGGTTTTTTGGGAAAAACTCCTAAAGAAACCCAACAATAAACATATATTAAACTCCAGGAGAGCAACAAAAGAGGACCCTTTTTCATAGGATGTGCTATAAGTATATTACAACATAGACAGTCCAAATACTAGAGAATATATATATAAAAAGGAAGATGGATCCAGAGTAGGGCTGCACGATATTGGAAAAAACTGATATTGCGATATTTTTCCCCCTGTGATATGAAAACATACAGGAATTGAAGAAAAGACCGTTTTTTTTTGTCCGCAAACCATCCTTTCTTGAACTTTAATGCCATACAATTGGTATTTTTCTAACTATATTTAACCAGATGAAGGATTTTAGTCACGGACGTCTGGATCTTATGTTATCAGAGCAACAAGCTGAGCTAGCTCGGTTAGCAGCGCCGAACTGGAGAAACACATGAAACGACTTTATTCAGTGTTTTTACCTTTGATCACCGGGTCCGTTTGTTTTGGAGATTTGATTGTGATTGGTGGTTTGCTGTCACTCACTCAGGTACTCCTGACATGAGAGCCGCGCAAGTTTTCCTTTTGTAGCAAGCAGCAAAACGAATTGTAACATGACGTGTTTGAGTTCATTTGCCTACTTAATATCGCACGTCCTAAAAAAAATATATATATGGTGCAGCCCTAATCCAGACTGATGTCAACAATCTTCTGGGTTCGACCAAAAATGAAAATAAAGATCGTCAGGCTTGAACACAGCAACAGGTCCTCTTGTCTTTCTGCAGACAGGAAATACTTTCAGCTGGAAAACCAACTTTTTGTAGAAAAAGAAATGGGAAAAACGTCAGGGCTTTTTTTTGTAAAACATGTCAATAATCGTTGAACAGATACAAACAAACCATATGGAAGAAGGGTTGAACTTCAGACGGTTAAAATAAAGAAATGCAAGGGTATATTTGATGTTTTCCGGTGGTTTCAGGTTGTAGAAATAGATATATTAAATGAAAACACTGCACAGGGACAGGCTGCTCCTCTTCCTTTGGTAAACAGGAGGAAGTCAAACTGGATCATTTGCATGTGCACATATTTCAATTTGCCTACATTGTGCTATCTCTAATGCACGGCTGCAAAAGTCAAAGGAACCAGGATACAGTTTGTTTGGTTTGTTTTTGCAAGCCAGCGTCTACTCACAAGTTGTTTTATTTGTTAGCAAACAACAACAAGATAGCTAGTTGAACAACAAGGCAATTGAAAAAGCTTTACAACAAATATGAACCGTTAACATCCTGTATCCTGGAGGATAAAATGCCCAGCTGAGGTTATAAAACTGGCATAATGACACACAGATGTGCTTGAGGTTTAATCAGATAAGCAGGTTTAATAACAGTCTACTGTGAGGGTAGGATGGTTGTAATATCGGCACAACATGGACGCAAAACGTCTGTAATACGGGGGGAAATGGGTGCACCATGAATGTGATGACGGTTCAATAAAAGTGATACAGAGTGTAAGGTGGAAAAAAGTCTGTGTGTCATTTTAGCTTAGATACATTAGAACATAGCAATGACTTTTTTCAAAATGTGTTCATGTGCTTACCCATTTAAGGGTTAAAAGCATCAGTGCAACAGAAACACATTATGCATTTAAAAACAGTCATTAAAGTCCAAAGAGAATATCAATTCATACAATTTAAAATAGAATATGACGGGTATAAAACACAGGAACAACGGGACAGTGCGGTGTAAGAAACAAATCATATTTGTAGGTATTTAAAGACAGCTGCAAAAAGGAAAGTCTTGATATTAAAGAAGTGAGTTTTAAGGAGTTTTAACACTACAATTAAGTTTAATCTTTATTCAAGTAAATTAATCTGGAGTTTCGCCCACATCCTCTAATGTCATGCATCTCAACTCATGTTTCTGGGTAATTGAAATGCTCGTGTAAGTTTCAGCTCATCATCTTGGAGCCATGTTCTCACGAGTGAAGCATGATGTTTTTTGTTTTTGGTGCAGATCTCGGTACGGCGGACGATGGACAAACGTTCGACCCGAGTTCACTCGACCCAAACAGATGTGAGAGCTGCTATGGAGCGGAGACTGAAGACCTGAAGTGAGACACACACACACACACGCACACACACACACACACACACACACACGTTCTTCAGAAATATATCGAACAGTTTAAAATCAGGTCCAAATAATGTATAGTATTTGTAAAGACATGTCCCAGTAGAGACACTAAATACTAATATGAATATACGAATATTAAGATGTAAATAAGAGTGTTGTTATTCACTGTGTGTGTGTGTGTGTGTGTAGATGCTGTAACACGTGTGATGATGTTCGGGAGGCGTACCGGAGGCGCGGCTGGGCTTTTAAGAACGCCGACACCATCGTTCAGTGTAAGAGAGAAGGATTCACGCAGAAGATGCAGGAGCAGAAGAACGAGGGCTGCCAGGTGTACGGCTTCCTGGAGGTCAACAAGGTGAAAACACACACTTTTAGTCGTTCTCACGTTCCCAGAAAAGTGTTTTAACTCAGAGCGGAAGTCCTGTTTCTGTCTATAAAAGTCAAATAATCCAATTTAAAGAATAAACAAAAATAACACCTTTTTAATTTCAACAATATCTTCATAATACTGTGAATGTATTATTGTCCATTTCCATGATATTTGCTCCAAAATGTCCTGTTTCTCCCGTTGGACTATAATGATTACGTGTCATTGACCCTCTCCTCGCCCCCTTTGTGCTTCAGGTTGCAGGAAACTTCCACTTTGCTCCAGGAAAGAGTTTCCAGCAGTCTCACGTCCACGGTAAGATCTGCTCAGAAACACTCACAGAATCAATCAAAGGTTTCTGAACGCCAGGCATTTTCTGATTTAATATCAAACACCTGCACTCAAAACGCTCATTTAGAGACCGGTTGGGATCTGACATCGTGCTTTTCGTCTTTTAAAATTGGGATGCAAGTACTTTGTTAACTATAAAGTGTTTTAACATAGTTGAATATGTCTATCAGTGTTTCCCTTAGCCCAAGAAACAGTAAGCATCCAGTTAACAGTCAGAAAGGAGGAAAGAAACCATAACATATTCAAATGTAAGAATCTGAAATCAGAAAGTTTACTTTTTTTTAGCATTCATCAGTCAGAATTCTGAGAAAGAAAACATTCCTAGAAAGTAGAACAAATCTGAATTCTGAATTCAAAATTATCAGAAAAAAGTCCCAAATTCTTAGAAAGTCAAAAAAGTCAAAAATTCTTAGAAAGTTAAAACAGTCAGAATTGTGAGAAAAATGTCATAATTCTCAGAAAAGAGTCCCAAATTCTTAGAAAGTATAATAAAGTCTTATGTCTGAGAAAAAAGTTAAAAATTCTTGAAAAAAAAAAGTAACATAGGTGGAAATCTAATCTACACATTTTTTTCCGCACTAAAACTCTACAACTTTGGTCCTCATGATATCATTGACACACTTCACAAATATCTGGAAGTTAGAAATGTTCATTGTCGCATCGTCAAATCCTGAGTTTAATTATTAAAGTTATTGATATTTACAACGAGTGCATTGCTCTCCCACATAATGCTGAATCATGTTCAGAAACATTTGATTAGTTCATCAAACATCCATCAACAAATCATCCATTCATCACGACTCATATCCATACCTGATGATTGTGCATCGTTTAGAGATGGGTTTCCTCCCTAGCAACAATTAAAGAAGTAAGATAAATAACATTAGGTTGGCGGTATCTCAATAGAGTTGGAGAAGTGTTGGTTTTAAAAACTGTGTTCGCTTTAGAAATAAGCAACGAAAAATACAAAGACGCATATTTTTCTGTCACTGGATGAATGAATGCACACATTACCTTCATTTCCACACGGTGCATTAGACGGTCTGAAGCTGATTCAAGTGTTACCTGAGTGATGCAGTATGTGTCAGTGCTTCTGGTTATATCTTCTTTCCTGACGAGTGGAAAAGCCTCAAACACCAGTGAATCTGTGAAGGGGCTCTATGAAAACAAACTGAACACATTATTTTAAAGAAACTGACACATATATCAGTCTATCTATCTGCAGCTGCTAAAACAACACTTGGTTCAGCGTTAGTCGAACTCTAAAGCACCGTTACCTCTCTCAGCATTTCTTATTTCTTTCCTCATTTGCTTGCAGACCTTTCTCTCTTCTGTTTCATTTTTATTTATTTTCTTGGTATTATGGTTTGTCTGCCTGCTCAAAGTTTCCCTTCATCTGCACTTTAAACCAGGAAATGAACAGTGACAGCCGCTTCAGAAGGAATAATGCAACAATAATCTAAGAAAAAAGATTGGCTATTAAAATGGAGAGTTTGGCAAAACATCAGTTAATAAAACTGTGGTGCAAAATCTGGCAAAATGTAAGTGGCTGAAGCTTCTGTTAGTTTCCTGTGATCAATTCATCTGTTTGAATGTATAAGGTAAACTTCACCCACAAAATGACCATCTGTTTATTAGACGAATAGAATTGTTTGAGAAAAGTCAGAATTGTGAGACCAAAGTAAAAATTCTGAGAAAGTAAAAAAAAGTCAGAATTCTAAGAAAGAAAAAAATCAAAATTCTTAGAAAGTCACAATTTTTAGAAATAAACCAAAAAAAATCATGATTCTTACTTTTTAAGGTTTAGGAAAAAAATCGTAATTCTGACAAAAAAGTGAGAACAAAATCAAAATTCTTAGAAAGTCAAGAAAAAGTCAGAATTTTGAGAAAAGAGTCAAAATTCTTAGAAAGTCAAATAAGTCAAAATTCTTAGAAAAAAAGTAAATAATTGTGAGAACTAAATCAAAATTCTTAGAAAGTCAAAAACAATAAAAAATCTTAGAAACTACAAAAAGAAAAATCAAAATTCTTAGAAAGTTGAAAAGTCAGAATTCTGAGAAAATTGTTAGAAAGTAAAAAAAAAAGTCAAAATTGTTAGAACTCTGAGAAAGGTCAATATTCTAAGGAAAATTGAAAATCATAGTTTTCTCTAATGGGGCTTTCACACCAACGCGGTTCCAGGGCCGATTCGGAGCTAGAGCCTGAAAAGCACAGTTTTTTCCTGTTCACACCGCAGCGGACCACGGTTCGTTTTCAAGCACCAAAAAATGTTCGGCCTAGAAGCAAGAACCGCATACGTCACGCTTACGTTGGAGGCGGGGGCAGGGGCAGTGGCGGGATCAGTTTATGGCGAGTACGGCAAATGAAAGTTGTAACAAGCTGTAGCGCTGAGCAAAGTGACTAGAACGCAACCACACACTTATTAAAAAAAAACACACTTTATAAAGTCAGGCAACACTAACCAGGCTTCGTGTGATTCTGTTTATTTGTACCTTACTTTGACCATCCGTTCGCTGTTATTGATCATTGTGGAGGGGGCAGACGTTTTGTTTTGTATTATAGCAGCTATCGGATGGAATCAATACATGGGCTGCACAGGTTGTCATGTCCGACTATCACAAGTAGAATCATAATGAAAAATACGCCGATAAAATGTGCCTGTAGAAAACGGCTTATGCCACAATAGGATAGCAACAAGTAGTCAAGATAGTCAGTTTAGCTTCGGTTGCTATGCTAACATCATCCATTTTATACCAGAGAAACTTTCATAACAGCGTTGTGATGCCAAACAGCGGGCAGCACTGCAGCGGTCGGTAAATGACGCTGAAAAGTATAAGGTTGGAGAAGTCGTTATTTAATTTAATCTGGCTTCGTATGATTAAAAGCAACACGATCATCGACCCGACGCAGTCCCCCGTTGTTGTTGTTGTGAGCGCCGTTGGAGAGAAAATCAGCGACGTAAACGGTGACGTCATGACGCAGCAGCGGCAGCACCAGTCGGGCTCTGGGCGGTGTGAACACAACGGGGGCTGAAAAGAAAAACCGGTTCCGAACCAGAAGAGCGCTAGCACGGAGCTAGAACGGGAAACCGCGTTGGTGTGAAGAGTTCAAAGAACTATGTGCTGAACGTTGATAAACAAATGGTTCTGTGGGTGAAGGTGACTTTTGTTTGTTATCTTTAAACATTCAGCGGCAGAAACAAGAGACGAGACTCACTCTGAGGAGGTGACTGAACATCAGATACAGAAAATACTCTGATCCCAAAACCCCTCTTTATTCTGGACTGATATTAAACTGTTAAACGCTGAGTCGTGTGTTTGGGGTTGCACAACCACTATTTTCCAAAGCTCCCTTTCTTCAACTAAGAACACATTTTTAAATCCCTTTCAATGAGATATTCTGCTGTTCTGTAACATCTCCAGCTTTTAGATCAACCCTTATGCTGGAGTAGAGATTGAATCACGAGCACAGACGTTTTAAAAGCTTTCAGGATCATTTCTAGAAATATAAATGGAGCATAATAGATTGTTCTCAGTGTTGTGCATCCTCACACACAGTGCCGTGGTTTGTTGTGTACCTGCATCATTACAGTGACTCTTCTCTCTTCTTTCTGCAGTGCACGCTGTGGAAAGTAAGTCCTTCTTTACTTGGAGTTTTTTTTATTTAAAATAATCGTATAAATACCTGTCAAGATCCTCCTCGTCCCTGTGCAGGAACCTGTTTATGTAAATGTGGTGAAGGTTTGCAATTAGACAATCATTTTGTACATTTAAAGGTGGGGTAGGTAATTTTGGAGAAACCAGCTCGAGTGCGCTAGAATTTGAAAATACACAACCGGAGAAAATCTGCCACTTCCTTACAGAGCCCCTCCTCCAACACACACGAACGCGCACATGACCAATGAGGGCACGAGATAAGTTTGTGCACAGATGGAAGGCTGACAGGCAGGTAGGCCATCCAGTTATTTTAGCCGGGCCGGCTCAGATGATTGGTCGTGCTTTTTACAGTACTACGGCTTCCACAGATGACATTTTTTTATGGATTTTTTGTCAAAGCACTTAAGATATTCATTGCTATCGGGATGTTAAGAGCATTCCATGGAATATAACAAAAAGTGTATCTCGAGCCGGTTTCTCAAACTTGCCTACCCCACCTTTAAGTGAAAGATACTTAATAACTTAATACTATATAGAATGAATTGCAATTTGGATAAAACATACTTATTCTAAATAAACAATAACAGGGTACCTACAGCTTAAAGGAAGTCTACTAAATACATTTTAATTACATTTAAAGGCCAATTTGACATGCATCTTTTACGCTATGTTATGTCATCGCGCCCAACATTAGCCACCTTTAGCTTAGCGGTGGTGACGTGAAGTCATGTGACCATGCTGTATTTCCTTTATAGCCCAACATTAGCCACCTTTAGCTTAGCGGTGGTGACGTGAAGTCATGTGACCGTGCTGTATTTCCTTTATAGCCCAACATTAGCCACCTTTAGCTTAGCGGTGGTGACGTGAAGTCATGTGACCGTGCTGTAGTTCCTTTATAGCCCAACATTAGCCTCCTTTAGCTTAGCGGTGGTGACGTGAAGTCATGTGACCGTGCTGTAGTTCCTTTATAGCCCAACATTAGCCGCCTTTAGCTTAGCGGTGGTGACGTGAAGTCATGTGACCGTGCTGTAGTTCCTTTATAGCACAACATTAGCCTCCTTTAGCTTAGCGGTGGTGACGTGAAGTCATGTGACCGTGCTGTAGTTCCTTTATAGCACAACATTAGCCTCCTTTAGCTTAGCGATGGTGACGTGATGTCATGTGACCGTGCTGTAGTTCCTTTATAGCCCAACATTAGCCTCCTTTAGCTTAGCGGTGGTGACGTGAAGTCATGTGACCGTGCTGTATTTCCTTTATAGTCCAACATTAGCCACCTTTAGCTTAGCGGAGGTGAGGTGAAGTCATGTGACCGTGCTGTAGTTCCTTTATAGCCCAACATTAGCCTCCTTTAGCTTAGCGGTGGTGAGGTGAAGTCATGTGACCGTGCTGTAGTTCCTTTATAGCCCAACATTAGCCTCCTTTAGCTTAGCGGTGGTGACGTGAAGTCATGTGACCGTGCTGTAGTTCCTTTATAGCCCAACATTAGCCTCCTTTAGCTTAGCGGTGGTGAGGTGAAGTCATGTGACCGTGCTGTAGTTCCTTTATAGCCCAACATTAGCCTCCTTTAGCTTAGCGGTGGTGAGGTGAAGTCATGTGACCGTGCTGTAGTTCCTTTATAGCCCAACATTAGCCTCCTTTAGCTTAGCGGTGGTGACGTGAAGTCATGTGACCGTGCTGGAGTTCCTTTATAGCCCAACATTAGCCACCTTTAGCTTAGCGGTGGTGACGTGAAGTCATGTGACCGTGCTGTAGTTCCTTTATAGCCCAACATTAGCCTCCTTTAGCTTAGCGGTGGTGACGTGAAGTCATGTGACCGTGCTGTAGTTCCTTTATTGCTCAACATTAGCCGCCTTTAGCTTAGCGGTGGTGACTAAATACCTCCTGATGTTTATAAACACAAATGAGGAGATTTAAGGGAGGTCAAAGGTCAGAGCCTCAGATGCAGTGCTAACTAACCTCTCTGTGTCTTCTGCTTTTATCTTTAAACTAATCACTCTGAGGAGCTGAATCTCTCACGCACTGATCAATAACTCTAACCCCTAACAGATCTGTAACCTGAGATACATCACATTCCCTCTTCTGTACTGAATGTGTATTTAAAGTATTTGTAATTAACACATTTCCCCGGGCGCCGTACATAATGTTACTAACACTAGGATGGGTCAAATGCAGAATGTAAACTTCCTCTCTGTGGGTCGATTAAGGGTTTTTCCTTCTTCTCCTTCTCTTCTAACGGAGGGTTTTCTTTGTGTTTGCAGTTCACGACCTGCAGAGTTTCGGCTTAGACAACGTAAGTGACTCTGTTTAAAGTGACTGCAGCTCAGATGAAATGCAGGACAGCAACTAACGATTATTAAGATAAACCTATTAAGTGTTCTTTTTAATAAATGTAAGAAAATAGTGTGATTTTCAGTCTCTCAAAAGTTCATCACGATGTCTTTAGATGCTTCATTTGTCAGTCCTAAAGTCCACATATTCATTTTTATGATATAAAAAAGCAGGATTTTATTACTTAAACATTTTCTTCATGCCATGTTTGTACGAAAAATTACTTTCCGGTTTAAATATATATTGAAAAAAATACTTTTCTTAGGTTAATTAATATCATTTCGTTTGGTAGTTTGAATACTTGCATACATGACTCAGAACTTTATTTGACAGATTGTAATGATTTAAATTGTAGATAGTAACACTACACAGTGGAAGAAATTAGTATTTGATCCCTTGCCGATTTTGTAAGTTTACCCACTTACAAATAAATGAACAGTCTATCATTTTAATGTCAGGTGTATTCGACTAATGAGAGAGAGAGAACATCAAAAAGAAAATCCACAGTTAAACCATTAAACCCCTAGACTGCGGATGGAAATGAGCTCAAAGCTAAATCTGGCACTGTTACGCTTGAATGTTTTAAGTGTTCATTATTGTGCATTGTCCCTGCCAAATAAACTATTAAATAAATAGACTGTTAATTTCTTTGTAAGTGGGCAAACTTACTAAATCTGCAAGGGATCAAATACTTATTTCCTCCACTGTATATAAAAGACCTGATTGTTGCTGTTAATAATTCCTCTCTTCCTTCCTGCAGATAAACATGACCCACCTGATAAAACACCTCTCGTTCGGGAAAGATTACCCCGGCATCGTGAACCCTCTGGACGACACGGACGTCAACGCACCTCAAGGTCAGACACTTCACATTTAACTGTTTCAATATAATGTTAGCGGGAACAACCAGAGGTGGGAGGTAGTGGAGTACAAATACTTTGTTACTGTACTTAAGTACATTTCTCTGGTATCAGTACTTTACTCCACTACTTATTTTTCTGATGACTTTCTACTTCTTACATGTTGAACACAAATACCTGAACTTTCTACTTCTTACATGTTGAACACAAATACCTGTACTTTCTACTTCTTACATTTTGAACTCAAATACCTGTACTTTCTACTTCTTACATGTTGAACACAAATACCTGTACTTTCTACTTCTTGCATGTTGAACACAAATACCTGTACTTTCTACTTCTTACATGTTGAACACAAATACCTGTACTTTCTACTTCTTACATGTTGAACACAAATACCTGTACTTTCTACTTCTTACATGTTGAACCCAAATACCTGTACTTTCTACTTCTTACATGTTGAACACAAATACCTGAACTTTATACTTCTTACATGTTGAACACAAATACCTGTACTTTCTACTTCTTACATTTCCCAAACAGGCTGGTTCCTTTAGTTTGAATGTGTGTTTGGTGGCGTGATCATTATTATTTAGAGTCATTGCGTGCCTATTGATTTGAACATGATCCGTGTATCCATCATTTCCTGGTCTTCTCTAAAGAAGAGGGACCAATGAAAACGTTGTCATGTTGCCGTTGTTCAGCATGGAAACATTCATTAGCTAACAATGACATTATTGTTCTATTAATATAAAGGGAGGTCAGGTACTCTTTAAAACAGCTGCTAGTTATGGGTACTTTTTACTGAAGTACATTTCAAAGCCCTCTTTACTTTGACTTGAGTAAAGAAGTTTAGTCAGTACTTCTACTTTTACCAGAGTATTTTTAAACACAAGTATCTGTACTTCTACTTGAGTAAAGGATGTGTACTTTGGCCATCTCTGGGTCCAACAAATAGGGGAACGTGTAACACTGTTTACAGTTTATACTAAAAACCTTTCTTGAAAAATAATGCATAATTTTGCACTGAATCATCACCATTTCATCTTGACTACGCCACGTTAAAATGTCAGAGCTGCTGATAATCTAATCAGGTGTAATTTATAACCGGGTTTCAGATCTTGTACTTGAGTAAAAGTAGAAGTACCAGAGTGTAGGAATACTCTGTTACAGTAAAAGTCCTGCATTCAAAATGTTCCTCAAGTAAAAGTAGGAAAGTATTCTCATCAAAATATAGTGAAAGTAGCGACAGTAAAAGTAGTCATTGTGCAGATTGGTCCATTTCAGAATAATATATATGATATGTTTTATAATGATTGATCATGAAAGTGTTCTCAAAGCTGGTAAAGGTGCAGCTAGTTTGAATGACTTTGTATACTGCAGGGTAGCTTGTGGATTTACTCCAGGTGGAACTAAAGTCTGATTTAACACTTGGTTATATTTCACATCATTCATCCACATCTGTGAAGTAACTAAAGGTATTAAAAGTACACAGTAGCATCAAATGGAAATACTCAAGTAAAGTACAAGTATCTCAAAATTGTACTTGAGTAAATGTACTTAGTTACTTTACACCTCTGTCAGGTTGTGGCGTGATACAAAATATTCTTTCGTACAGATGCTCATTTTAAATCCCCCTTCCGTCTAATATTGCAATATCGTTCCAAAATCATGCAGCCTTAAAAAAATATCCTTCAAAATGAAACGTGCTGTTTTATGTCGGTACATTAACAGCATCAGAACACATCGTTTGACGAATCGGAACTTTTATTGACAAAAACTGGACTGTCGTAGAGAGAGAGAGCATAGTCCCATAGCTGTTGAACAGAGTGGTGGAGGTGGCTCCTCCTCCACTCTCAGCAGCGTATTCCCATCCCGATGGACATGAAGGTGCCGAACGTCCCGCCGCTTTGCATCATGGTCTTTCCCACGCCTCCCATCAGCTCTCTGCCACGCATCCCAATCCTGGAGGCACACAAAAGACACATTTAGATATTTTTTAACAATAGTTTTTCAGCCTCAAATTGTGTTTTTTTTACAATTCTTTATTTAGAAGACAGTTGAGAACATTTCACTAGTTACAATGAAATATACTTGCAGCTGTGCAATGTGTTTCTACCCAGGTGCAGTTAGTTATAGTGTTTTGTATCAAATATTTTGGGTGCTAAGTGAGCGCAGTTACCTGAGACAGGAGAAAGTGCTGACCATTCGTGAGAAATGTAATTATACTTTGGGTTAAGGATTTTTCATTTGTCTAATTAGCCAGTTCTAAGGGACACTTTGGACATCTTTAAAGTACTGGATCATAACAGCTGGGATTAAACAATGTCCACATTCTAGAGTTTACCCAGGTGCAGTTATACTGTTTCTACCCAGGTGCAAGTACAGTGTTTTTTATCAAATATTTTGGGTGCTAAGTGAGCGCAGCGTTACCTGAGACAGGAGAAAGTGCCGAACATGGCTCCAGCAGCCATTCCCACGGCGAAGCCCATCATGAAGCCCATTTTCACCCGATCGAAGCAGTTGGGCTGCGTCTGTCCGTACGAACCGACAGCCACCGGCATCTGCAGGGGAAAGAGAGACGGGTTGATATCCAATTGATTCACGGCTTTATTGTCATGTGCTCAGCAGCTACAGTACAGTTTAGATATGGTGATGAAAAACTGAAGTCACGGGCTCCTCCAACAGAGCAACGTGAATATATATATATAGAACATAAAATAGTGCAAGAGAATGTTTGGAGATGTGCAAGTAAATAGAAATAGTGCAAGAAGAGTCTATATACAAGTAAATGGAATATGATGTATTGGATCAATAATCTGCACGATGCAAACAGATGGATGTTTATGGATGTTCTTTAAAGAGTTCAGGTGTTTAATATGAGATACTTTTCCCGACTAATTTAGCCTTTACGCAGGGTTCTCTTTACGCGTCAAACCAGCAGAGAATTAGTCGGAGTTCTCTGGGTTTTTGTCACCTAAAAATGTATATATTTTGGTTCTGATCCGACATTTAAAGTCATCAACTTGGACTTTTAAAAACTGGCATGGACAGTTTTTACGAATTACATTTGAAGACCAAACAATTATTCTAGAAAATACTCCATAAAGAAAGTAAACGTTGGTTGCAGCACTGACACAGGAAACTGTTCAATAAAACCAGTTTAAGATCCAATTATGCAGCTTTAAAAAACTGAAAGCAAGATGTTGATGAAGATGAGGTGGAAGAAATACTCAGATTTGTAGCAATACTACATTTAAAAAGTAAAAGTCCTGCATTCAAAATCTCACTTAAAGTGGACCTATCATGCTATATTTGAATAATATAGTGTAGGACCATACCTATATAAGGCATATTTATACTTTTTTTTTTTCAAAATACCAAACAGATCATGCATTTTAGCCATGCCTCATTTTGCTCAATTTGACATTTTTTAGCTCTGTTTTTGCAAGGGCTGATTCAGTGAGAACAGCACCACCTACAGGCCTGGCATATGTACTACAGCGTCTCCAGCGCTTTCGAACGGCGATGGCCGTGGCGGTCTCCTCCTGATTGGTGGAGTTGGCCCAATAGCCGTAGCGCCACCGTCCTGACGTCAGGACAGTGTTCAAATCTGGATCAGTTTTTATCAGATCCGTTGCAGCCCCTTTTTTAGAGATTTGGGTATGGAGGAAAATAGAGAGGGTTGTGTTTTCTGACACTTGGTGAGTTCCCTGGAACACCGGGGACACATATTCATGTAGAAAAGACGTACACAAGTGCATTTTGCATGATAGGTCCCCTTTAAGTACAAAAGTGTTGTCATCAAAATATACTTAAAGTACTAAAAGTGAAAGTACTCATTCTGTGTAATGGCCCATTTCAAAATCATATATATATTGTATTTGTATCACAACTGGTAAAGGTGGAGCTAATTTGAATAACTTGATATACTGCTGCTGGATATTTTAACCTATCATTATAGGTGACATAGTTTATGTATTAGTTATAAAACAATAATACTAACCTAAAGGTAACTAGTAACTGAAGCTAGTATTGGCTACTGAAATATAGTGGAGTAGAGTGTAAAGTACCTCAACATTTTATTAAAGTACTTGAGTAACTGTACTTAGTTACTTTACACCACTGGATATTTGACCTTTCCATCTAGCTTGCTATGAGTAAATTATTAAATATATAACCAGTACATATTGGACACTGATTGATACTTGAACAGAAAACCCTACTAGCTGCTAACTGTGTCTTAAACCCAGACATTAAGGAGTTAATCAGTTGTTCTAACGCAGGTTAATGATTGGTTAGGTAATCACTGTTATTGCATTAGCTAGAGAGCTAACGTTAGCCAGCACCTGTTTTTAACATTTAGCATTAAAAACAACCAACACATTCTTCACTGCAGTCCGTAAACCTTTGTGATAAAATACAATACAATAGTTGATATTGTTTATTTTGTAAAGTTCACTCTTAATCCCCACAGTGTGTTGTGTTAGCTTAGCATGCTAACCGACATGCTAACGTCTTCTGTGGCCTTGACAGTTAAACACGCGTGTTTTTATCACTAAATATCTCCGCGAATCCACCTTACCTTGGACTATGGGTGTGAAATGTGTTTGTTTTTCTGGATCTTGACTGCAGGACCGTCGAGGGTTTGATGCTGCGGGGTTTAAATGTCTTTTAGCACACCTCCATTACCGGATAGAGAAGAGAGAGAGGAGGAGTAGAGAGAGGGGGATAATGTGGAGGAGAAAAGAAACAGCGCCACCGGTGGTTCATTTGAGTACTGCTGCTAGTGATGTTTTTAACCATTGTGCCATAGATAGATATATACTTTATTTATATCTACAGAAACATACTATAGACAGATAATGGCATTGGATTGAATATATATTATAATTGTGCAAATAGTTCTGGGTTATAGAAAAGGAGACACTTTACACGTCAGTGATTTGTTGTACAGGTTATTGCGGTTTGCAGGTTTTCCTGTTGGAATGTTTGCCCCATTAAATCAATTTAATTTAATTAATCATCTTGGCTGATGATATAGACTTTTCCGAATTTATCGAATTTGACTTTTCTCAGAATTTTGACTTTTGTCTCAGAATCTTTTTTTTTTACAAATGTATACTTTTTCTCAGAATTTCGATATTCTATGAATTTGGACTTTTTCTCAGAATTTCATCTTTTTACAGAATCTTTCGATTTGTTCAATATTTCGACTTTTTCAGAATTTTGACTTTTTCGCAGAATTTCTACGTTTTTACAGAATTTCGTCTAACTATGAATTTTGACTTTTTCTCAGAACATTTTGATATTTCATGAATTTCTATATGTAAACAAGCTTGCATTTATTGCATTAAAACTCTATAAATGTACCAATATTTAGTAGTTATGATCAAGACTGAAGCTTGTTTGTCATCCAGTGGGACGGGTTAATAAATAAACCAATTAAAAAGTCTATTTTAAGCCATCTCCAGTTTGGAAGAAATATTTTTATATCTAAAAGTATGTCCATCCATCTCCTACCTGTTATCCGTTGTCGGGACCCCAAACTTCCCTTACCCTGATATTTGACCTCACTCTGTTCGCTTTTTATGCCTTCAAAATATATGTACAACCTACTGATCTCCCTTGTGTTGTGTGTGTCTGCATTCATATTTTAACAATCATTCCTTCTCCTCTCCCCACAGCATCAATGATGTACCAGTATTTTGTGAAAATCGTTCCTACCATCTACGTAAAAACTGACGGAGAGGTGAGTTCATTTGACTTTCTTTCCGTATATTTCTTCTTTTAATTTGAACCCCATCAAACCAGACAGCTAGACCGGTGGACTTTAATTCATCATTTAAAACGAAAAAACATTTATTCATTATTTGTATTTAAATAATGTTGGGGCTATAAACTAAAACGTGATTAGTGTATCCTTTTTTCTGTTTGTGATATTATCTTTAAAATGTTCTTTATCATTAAAATTAGACTTAAAATGATAGGTTGTCCGCCATCTAATGTTTAATTTAAAGCTGTATGAGGCAACAATTTAAAACTTAAGAGTATTATATTACAATGGACATTTACGAAATGGAGAGGATAACATCATCTGGAACTATTTGTGTCACGATGGAGAAAGTGGACTGATTTCGTAAAACCTCATAGGCCAGATTTTATTTTGTACAAACGTTTGATTTTACTGTGAAGTCCCGATCGCTCCCTAATGCTCGTATTGTTCGTACGCATTTCGGACCGACAAACTTAAGATGTACAATTACTATGTCTTGAAAAAACACTGTGTAATTGTTTGCTGCCAAATGTCAATACAAAATATATTACAAAAGTATTTATATCCTGCTCCCCTTCCTATAATAGTGTTGTGTTGTCTTTTTGTTTTCCATGCAGGTGGTAAAAACAAACCAGTTTTCCGTCACCAGACACGAGAAAGTGGCCAACGGGCTGATAGGAGACCAGGGGCTGCCGGGCGTCTTTGTTTTATACGAACTGTCCCCTATGATGGTTAAATTCACAGAGAAACACAGGTAGGAGAAATAGAATTCTTTATTGTCATCGTGGCGGCTCAATTTCCACTTCAGTTTGAGTCGCCGAGAGGTTGGCTTTATGCTGCGACGTATTTCAAAGAGAAAGTCCATACTGAAGTAAGATAGACAAAACACAATAACTATAGGGACAAAAACTGAAAAAATGACAGCACAAGCTCACCCTCTGTCATCCGCACTCAACAAGAAACAAGTGACATCAATACACAAAACACACACATGTGACAATTAACGGAAGTGCTCAACAAATACTCCTTTTCTTTAAGGTGCCATCAAAAATATACAACAACTTTCAGGAGAAGACCACATGAAAAACAACAAGCATTCATACTTCAATATGGAGATAAAAACAGAGCACTGAGTGTTTCCTGGTAGAGAGGTGCGGGAATGAGTCCTAAATGCTAACCTCATTGTAATGATCGTCCTATAATCTCCTGCAACATATTTTTGTTTTGGTTTGTGTCCAGAGAAGTAGAGACACTACATAGTGATATACACCTGAACATCATCAGGAGAGGACTCTTTAAAGTAGAGACACTACACACTGATATACACCTGAACATCAGCAGGAGAGGACTCTTTAAAGTAGAGACACTACATACTGATATACACCTGAACATCAGCAGGAGAGGACTCTTTAAAGTAGAGACACTACATACTGATATACACCTGAACATCAGCAGGAGAGGACTCTTTAAAGTAGAGACACTACATAGTGATATACACCTGAACATCATCAGGAGAGGACTCTTTAAAGTAGAGACACTACATACTGATATACACCTGAACATCAGCAGGAGAGGACTCTTTAAAGTAGAGACACTACATACTGATATACACCTGAACATCATCAGGAGAGGACTCTTTAAAGTAGAGACACTACATACTGATATACACCTGAACATCAGCAGGAGAGGACTCTTTAAAGTAGAGACACTACATACTGATATACACCTGAACATCAGCAGGAGAGGACTCTTTAAAGTAGAGACACTACATACTGATATACACCTGAACATCATCAGGAGAGGACTCTTTAAAGTAGAGACAACTACATACTGATATACACCTGAACATCAGCAGGAGAGGACTCTTTAAAGTAGAGACACTACATACTGATATACACCTGAACATCAGCAGGAGAGGACTCTTTAAAGTAGAGACACTACATACTGATATACACCTGAACATCAGCAGGAGAGGACTCTTTAAAGTAGAGACACTAGATACTGATATACACCTGACATCAGCAGGAGAGGACTCTTTAAAGTAGAGACACTACATAACTGATATACACCTGAACATCAGCAGGAGAGGACTCTTTTAAAGTAGAGACACTACATCTATATACACACCTGAACATCAGCAGGAGAGGACTCTGTGAAAGTAGAGACACTACATACTGATATACACCTGAACATCAGCAGGAGAGGACTCTTTAAGTAGAGACACTACAACTGATATACACCTGAACATCAGCGAGGAGAGGACTCTTTAAAGACAACACCATGGTTCAAGAAGTCAATGTTTAACCAGAAAATAACACTTCTTTACTACTGACATGAACATTTCAAATGTCCCATCCTCTCTCTATCTCTCTCTCATAGATACTCATTTATAGCTCATATAATTCTCTCTCTCATTCTCTCTCTCTATCTTCCTCTCTCTCTCTTCCTCTCTCTCTCCTCCTCTCTCTCTCTCTCTCTCTCTCCTCTCTTTTCAGATCCTTCACACTTTTAACAGAGTGTGTGCCATTATTGGAGGAGTATTTACAGGTCAGTCCCTAACACACAGCAGCTTAAAATGAATAAAAATGAAGTGGATAATAAAACCTGACGTTCTCTTTCCTCGTTCTCTTTCCTCGTTCTCTTTCCTCGTTCTCTTTCCTCGTTCTGTTTCCTCTTGTGTTTCCTCTTGTCTTTCCTCTTGTGTTTCCTCTTGTGTTTCCTCTTGTGTTTCCTCTTGTGTTTCCTCTTGTGTTTCCTCTTGTGTTTCCTCTTGTGTTTCCTCTTGTGTTTCTGCAGTTGCCGGATTGATCGATTCGCTCATCTACCACTCAGCTCGGGTCATCCAGAAGAAGATAGAGTTGGGAAAAGCCTCCTAACAGCGCCCCCTGCTGGCCTCCACGGTGAAAAAAAAAACCAGACAGAAAAGAAAGGACAGAGGGAGACAGAGAGGTTTTAAATCCGCCACGTTTTCGATTCCTCTGTCTCTCTTTTCGTTCTGGAAAAAGCACTGAAGAGGAACTTTTTGGGGGCATTTTGCTCTCCGGTTAAAATGTAACGGAGGGTTTTTTTGTGATTGAACTCAAGAGAGGAAGCTTCTTTTTCTTCTTCTTCTTCACGGAGGACGGGAACTTCACTCTCTTCTTTAACGTCCTGATTCAGCGTCGCCCACATTCGTTAGAGGATCCAAAGGGGTGAGGATGAGAGGGAGGCTTTTTGGGAAGGAATACGTCACCCCAAATTATTCATTTTCATATCAGTAACTCTTTTCTCCATTTAACTTGTGAAGAACCACCATATATAACAAGTTGTGTGAAGTTGATTAGACCTTTTTTAGGGTGAAATGTTCCTTTAAAAGACCAAAAGTACTTCAATACCAGCTGATTTTCTCTGATTTTCAGCTGAATAACGACACTTTACGGCAGATAAACGACATGTCACCCCAAAAATTATTCATTTTCCTATCAGTCACTCCTTTCAAACTCTTGTACACGTTAAAGCAAATGTATCCTTTAATGTGAGGAAGTGAAGAAAGTGAAGAACGACCATCTATTACAACTTGTGAGAAGTTGATACTAAAAAATGTCGTGTGATTTGATCCTTTGAAGACTTTCTGTACAAAAAATGCCTCAAAACCAGCTGGTTTTCATTGATTTTCAACAAAATAACGTCACTATAAGGCAGATAAAAGAAATACGTCACCCCAAATTATATATTGTCCTATCACTCACTCTTATCAAACTATTCCACAATTTAAAGCAAAGTTAAAAGTGAAGAACGACCATCTATTACAAGTTGTGAGGAGTTAATAAGACATTTTTTCGGGGTGAAATGTTCCTTTAAAAGATCAGAAATACTTAAAAACCAGCTGATTTTCACTTGACGACACTTTAAGACAGATAAAATAAATACATCACCTCTAAATGATTAGTTTTCTCATCAGTGACTTCCTCCTCGACACGTATTACAAGTTGTGAGAAGTTGATAAGGAAACATGTTGGGTGACGTGATTCTATAAAGACTTTCTGTACAAAAAATCCCTCAAAACCAGCAGATTTTCTTTGATTTTCAGCTAAATAACGACACTTTACGGCAGATAAAAGACCGCAAATGATTAGTTATCTTATCAGTTACTTCCTCGATGTAACAGCAGAAACCTTAATAGAAGAAACAATGTATTTAATCCAGAATCACTAACAGGACACATAATCATTTTTTCTCGATAAGATCTAAATGTATTGGGAAAAATGTAGGGATTCGTTTTGTATTTTTCTGATTTTCAACAAAAACCACATTATTATTTTCCCTTGTTGGGTGAAGTGTTCCTTTAAAGACTTTCTGTACAAAAAATCCCTCAAAAACCATCTGATTTCCTCAGCCAAAAAAAAGCCACTTTAAAGGCAGATTTCTGACCTCAAGCTTGAATTAAAACCCACTCTGTGTAGGATTTGGTTTTTCTATCGTGAGAATCTGAATGACTTGAGTTTACAGCCGTCAAAACAGGTGCAAATAGTCAAAAACAAGTAGAAAATATGGATTTATTTAGCCGGGAACTCGAAGTCAGCTGCTTTTCATCCGATAATAACGTCACATTCATGAACATCCACCTGTTTTAGTGCCAACTCTCCACTGTGACATGAACTGATATTTTGTCTCTCAGTGTTTTTTGGATTCATGCATTTCTTTAAATCCTACACACAGTGGCTTTAAAATAAAGAGATTTTATTTGAAAATGACTCGATATAATCAGACGTCCTGCAGTGTGAATGGAGTCAGTGTTTAAGAAGTGGTAGTGAAGGAAAAAGAGTCCCATAATAGTCTGTTTGCAGTTTGTGATCACAGAAATGTTGTATACCCTAAAGTTTTATGTTAAAAATGTATATTAGGGGTCTCCAGCACATAGAAACTGCCGGATACTAACTTGCATTAATTAGCATCAATACACACACATTATCGGACAATTTGGACAATTTCGGAGTGGTTTTGAAGGATATTGAGGATGCTGAATCCAGTTCTGACATGTTCAAGAACAAAAATGGCAGATCTAATCGATTTTTTGATAACATTAGTTACTTTTTGACAGTTAGTAGGTAGGTTGGTCAGAAAGTGGCTATATTCATACTGTAGACTCATTTTGATGGACTTTGAGTCGACACAAAACAGCCATTTTGGATCCTGGAAATGTCAGAAATTGATTCAACATCCTCAAAAACCACTTAAAAACCGTCCAAATCGGCCAAGAATTTGATTAACTAATGTCGGCATATGCTAATTAATGCTAATTGTGCAAATTGGTCAACATATGCAGGTTAGCATCCGGCAATTTCTATGTGCTGGAGACCCTGCTATACATTTCTATCATAAAACGTTGTCATGTATAGGTTCACGAAGCTGTAAAGTAGACTAATAGTTCAAAAGGAGGACATAAAAAATGTCTCCCCTTTTCATTTGTTATGCACATTTGAGTATTTTGAGTTATTTTGAGCCAAAGAGACAACCTACTCAGTTTTTTGTGGGGCTGTCTCACACAGAAACCCTTCATAAGTCAAATCCTGGCTTATTATAAAATACCGCTTCCATAAAGTATCTCCATCTAGGCTCAATTTGAATTTCGTTCAAGCCAATTAAAGCAGTGTTTACTCTTAGTCTGAGACCCCATTTACACGCAAACGCATACGAAACGCAAAAGAACCGAATACGATATCAAAAAAGTCTTCCGTTCACGCGAGACCGCTCGGGAGCGCTGGAGACGCTGTAGTACATATGCTGGGCCTGTAAGTGGCGCTGTACTTCTGCCACAAAATACACCAAAAGCAGCGAAGAAGACCCCCGAGCATGGTTGCCATGGTTACACTTCTGTTTATGCCCCGCGGTGGATTTAGCAACATGTAGTTCATGTAGTTCTCCATGTCCACTTGTTGCTGATGGTTGTGGAAGAGGAGCTGTAGACGTTGCACTAACATCTGTAGCATGGTCAGTAGCAGTAGCAGTAGCTACTGACCATGCTACAGCAGTGAGCAGGAGAGGTGGGGAGAGGCGGGGCTATGGCTTCATCGTTATCAGGAAATGATCGTACAGGGCGTACACACGGAGCCGTTTGGCCCCCCAGAGCGTTCCGGTTGCAGATCCATCCACCTTGGGACCCGTTATTGTTTGCGGGGTCCGTTTCCGCGTTTCCGTTACGGCCTCGTGTGAACGAACGGGCTATACGAAAGAGAAAAGTAGCGGATACAACCGTTTGCGTTCTCGTGTAAACAGCACCTTAAAGGGACAGAGCGTTTCAGACAGGAAGTGAACACAGGTGTATAAAGACGGACATTATGAGCAAATAAAAGTGTATTTTGAACATTAAAGCAGGTAATCATGTTGGAGTAGACCCCCAAAAGACAAGAAAACTCTTAAAAATGAAATAATTTGCCCCTTTAAATGGATAGAAATGCAAATCCAAGCTCTATTTTCAGAAAATTCGATAATTTTTCTGACTTTTTCTCACAACATGATCGTGGAAATGTATAATTTAGAAGTCAAAGTTTGTTCAGTGTGTAAATATTGTACAGACACATCACCGCTGCCTCAGAAACACTTAGTGAATCTCACCTGATTGAGTGTTTTCTGTGTTAAAAAAACACTTAAATATATTTTTATTTTGTATTGTTTTTTGGGGGAAAAGGGGCTTCTTCTTTTCTGCTGCTTTCTTTCTGTCGTTTCTTTGGATTAATGGACTACTGTTTAATGATTATATTTGGTATTTGTGATTTGGGGACATTAAAGGGTTTAAAACCAGTGGTGGCAAGTAACTAAGTACATTTACTTGAGTACTGCATTTAAGTACAATTTAATGCCACTCAACTGTTTCTAAACTACATTTAAAAGGGTACATAATGCATTTAACATCATATTAAGATGTAGCATTATGATTTAAACTTAATGCATCTCTACAAATAAAATAGGGAACAGTTTGAGGTACACAAATGTGAAATCATCTAATATATTACAAAAAGCGAATATTGACTTGTACTAGCTACTAGGTAGGTATTGATCCCAAATTGGGAGATTATTTTAGATACCTCAAAGAAGAACTAAACTTTAATAATGAACAGTTAACAGCAAAATGCTACTTGATGCAACAACACACAGACACACACACACACACACACACACACCACACACAACACACCACACACACACACCATCCCTCACACACTTCTTATCTTATCATGCTGCAAACACACATCATCACTGAAATCTCCCTTTTAATCCAACACACACACACACACTCACACACACCATCCCACCCTACAGCAGACACACACACACACACACACACTCACACACACCATCCCACCCTACAGCAGACACACACACACACACACACACACACACCATCCCTCACACACTTCTTATCTTATCATGCTGCAAACACACATCATCACTGAAATCTCCCTTTTAATCCAACACACACACACACACACACACACTCACACACACCATCCCACCCTACAGCAGACACACACACACACACACACACACTCACACACACCATCCCACCCTACAGCAGACACACACACACACACACACACCACACACACTGTAAAATGCTTCTTGATGCAACAATATTGGCTAGCGCTCCGCCACATTGTACATGATAAGCTAAGGGGCGGGACATCTCTATGGTGTTGACCAATCACAACAGAGCCGGCCAGCTAACCAATCAGAGCAGCTCTGGTTTCAGACAGAGGGTGAAAAGAGGTGCTGCAGCACAGGCAGCATGAGAAAAATAAAGAGCTTTTTGAACATCCATATTCATTAGTTAAAGGTGGGGTAGGTAAGTTTGAGAAACCGGCTCGAGATACACTTTTTGTTATATTCCATGGATGCTCTTAACATCCCGATAGCAATGAATATCTGAAGTGCTTTGACAAAAAATCCATAAAAAAATGTCATCTGTGGAAGCCGTGGTACTGTAAAAAGCACGACCAATCATCTGAGCCGGCCCGGCTAAAATAACTGGATGGCCTACCTGCCTGTCAGCCTTCCATCTGTGCACAAACTTATCTCGTGCCCTCATTGGTCATGAGCGCGTTCGTGTGTGTTGGAGGAGGGGCTCTGTGAGGAAGTGGGAGATTTTCTCCGGTTGTGTATTTTCAAATTCTAGCGATCTCGAGCCGGTTTCTCAAACTTACCTACCCCACCTTTAACGTTGTATTAATAATATAAAGCTGTAACTAATGTTGTCTTATAGTTCAAAATGTAGTGGAGAAGTTTAAACTATGTATACAATACAATAGAAGTACCCCTCAAATTAAATGTAAAGAACAGTACTTTAGTAAATACTTAGTTACTTTACAACACTGCTAATACATAAGCAAACATTTAAAGGCTTTGACATGTAATGGAGTATTTTGAGATTCATCCTTTGGGGCTTTTGCTTCAGTAAAGTCTCTGAGTACTTCCTCCACTTCCTGGTTGTTTCACAGTTTCTTGCACTGTTTAAAAAGGTGTTTTATTCAGATTTTAAAGCTGTTCTAATGACAGGGAGGGCGGCTAAATGTGGGTTTATATTCTCATTTTATTCCTCTCACACATGTGGAGCCTCCAGATGAGACCCAGATGTTTTCACTCGCCTCTTTGAGTCTATTTTTAGAGTCGTAGACAGATTTGTGGGTTTAAAAGGCTTTTATTTTGAATGGACAGCACTGGTGGTTTCACATGTTCGTGGTCCATTAACCACAACAGTTTAGAGGATCGTGTGAATAAAAAAAGGCTGAACCAGAACCAGAACCAGGATATAAATCCATTCCTTTCTGCTGGAAGGTTTCATTTTGTTTTAATGATGTTCGTTTATTGAAAAAGCGTCTGAATCTGTGATGAAATGTGATCCAGCACCTTTTAACATCTAAATAATCAGTTGTGGGTGTGTGGGTGTGGTGTGGGTGTGGGTGTGTGTGTGGGTGTGTGTGGGTGGGTGAGACATGTATTTATATTTTGATTGTCCTCAAACAGTTTTTAAAATGACAGATAATAAATGTTGAATACACCAGCTGCTTCAACCGTCCGTCTCCTCTTTATTCATTTTTATACTTTTTAAATGTTCTATTAATTAGTAGTATATATATCTAAACATCTGTAAGGTATGCAACAGAATAAGTTAAAATACACTATAAAAGACCAACGTACTACTACAAAGATATAGAGGATACTTAATTACATTATACAAAATACCATAGAGTCTAGTATTTAGAAAATATATTAAAAAAAAAATATATATATATATATATATTAGATATATAGAAAATAATATATATATTTAAAGATACATTTTAAAATAATATTTTATTATTCTCAACACAATAATCATATTTGATCACCTGACATAAAAGATTTTTAGAGACACTTTAATTTAAACCACCTCTTATTCAGTAATTATGAACTTTCCCGCAGTTACACCTGATGGCCGCTATGATGGCGATAATACACCTCAAACTGGCATTTTACACACATAGGAGCAGAGCATCTGAATGAAATTACAACGTGTGTGTGCATGTGTGTGCGCTAGCGTGGTGTGTGTCCACAGAGAACAGTTAGATGCTGGAAATGTAATTATGTGTCTGGGCGTTGTAACATTTTTAACTGCTCGAGTAAAAGCAGAACATACACTCAGTGAACTTCATTTCAAATAACATCCGGCTTTCATAATTTTGCTTATTTAAACGTACAAAGAATAAAGAATAAA